TGCCTTTCTAGTTCATCCTTCCCAGGCAAGCACTGTAGTCGTTCTTCATCTCGCACCACTCTCAGGAATTCTTTTCGATCCTAAGCGTGCATATGGCTTATGGCAAATTATGGCACGAAGATATCTAGCTCTACACTAGAAGTTACTTCATAATTAGAGACCAGAAATGTCCAACTAGCCCAAAAACTCTTTACCTTCATCACAAACCATAAACTCAACAATCATAACTTCTTTCAACAGTCCCAATACGTGTTTATGTACATTTGTGAAAAAGGAAAAAATGAAAATCCTATGGAAGAGGGCATGGATCCTGAGCTCACTAATCTTAACCAAAGCTTATGAAAGAACTAGGATCATATGATCATGTCTTGATTGATCAATTTGATGACCACTTAAATTGGAGAAAAATTCTTACATTACAGGATAGGACGGGAGATTTGGAAAACAGTTCGTGAAATTTATTCAAATACAAAAAATAATGAATAATTATTTGAGATTGAAACCAAAACTGTATTAGCTTCAAAAAGAAAAGTTAAGTGTTACTCAATACTTTAACACACTATCCAGATACTGGTTACATTTATATATGTATGATACAAATGTATAGAAGTGTCATTCATATGCCATGATGTATAAAATAATTGTGGAAAAGAAGAGGATAATCAAGTTCCTATTGGGTCTAAATAAGAGCTTAGATGAAGTGAGAGAAAGAATCAAAAGAATGAAGCCTCTTCCTACCACTAGCAAAGCTTTTGTTGAAATTTGAAGAAAAGAAACCTGGAAGAAGCTCATGATGGCAGAAAATGTGGAGTCATATAGAGGATTGAAAGTTCTGCATTGTACTCACACAACTCTTCTAATGAGTCAGACAAAGAAGAATCATCCTTGGTGTGAACATTGCAAGAAAACTGGTCACACCAATGGCAGGTGTTGAAAACTACATGGAAAAGCTACATATTGAAAATTAGGGCAATGGAGGAAGCATATACCCTCTTTTGAAGGATCAATTGAACCTAGTCTCTCACTAAAGAACTGGGGGTGTTGAAGAAATATATTTCGGGCACAACCGAGGAGCCTACCAGCTTAATACATCAAAGTATAATTTCCTCCTATTTTGCTAACAATAAGAGATTTCAACTTTGGATAATAGATTTGGGTGCTTCTTATCACATGACTGGAGATATTCATGCTCTCACCAACTACCAAAAGTTCACCTATTCCAGATTTATTAAACTTGCTGATAGATCTCAATATAGGATTGTTAAAAAAGGAAAAGTGGAATTAAGATATTGGGCTCTCTTTTGTGATATATGTTCTTCAATTAGATTGCAACTTATTTTCAATCAACAAGATTACTCATGACTTGAACTGCATTACTAAACTCTTGTGAATTTCAAGTGGTGGATTTAGGAAAGAGATTGGCAGTGCTAAATTGCATTAAGGTCTATACCTACTCAAGAAAACTAATTCCCTTAACATAAGAGTGTCTCATTCGCTAACTTCTTCCAATGTTCCTGAGTCTGTTATTTCCTAGTTTGTTGAGAGTTAAGTTTTGTTATAGTATTATCGTTCATGTCATCCCAATTTTCATTATTTTGCAAAGTTATATCCTCATCATTTTCTTCCTATGTTTGGGGAAATCTTGTCACGTGGAGCAGCAAGAAGCAAGCAGTGGTCTCTAGAAACAATGCAGAATTTGAGTATTGAGCACAAACTTTGAGAATTTGTGAAGGAATGTGGATTCAAAGGAAACTAAATGAGTTGGGAACTCCACGGTTAATCACATAAAGATATTATGTGATAGCAAAGCCGTCATTAGTGCTGCAAAAAATCTTGTACATCATGGCAGGACCAAACATATTGAGCTTGATAGACATATTATTTTTGAGAAGGTCAATAGAGGCTTTATTCACTTAATCTACATTTCAACTCAAAACAGGTTGTCGATGTCTTCACGAAATCTCTCCATCCAAGCAGCTTCATGGATTTGAACACTAAGTTGGGTCTACAACATCTATGACCAAAGTTGGGTCTACACTCATTACATATTTCCTATTTAGATTTATCATCATTTATTTCTCTATTAGTATCTTTGTAGTTCTTGCCTAATGTGGTTGTTGTATCTTTGGTAAAATGTAATTGTAGGAATTATGTTTGCCGTAGAGTTTACTCTCAATATAATGAGAATAGTTGTAATTTTAAGATCGAGGAATAAGAAAGTTTTTCCCTCTCAAGTTTCAAAATAACAACAAATGTTTTTTTAGAAAGTAAACATCACGAAATATGATTAGCATCGCTGGTGTTGATTTGATTTATGATATATAGTTAAGCAAAAACTATCCTACATATGACAACAAATGTTTCTTAGAAAGTAAACAGTATCATAAATCAAATAAATACCATCCATGCTAATCCTATTTCGTGATGACATGGAGCTTTGAGATAACTACACAGTTATCTAATGAATGTTATATCAAGATTAGGACGATCAACAACGAAAACTCAACTAATATTGGTCACCATTTTCGGTACGCAAAAATTTGGCTCATATAAAGAAGTCATCCCACCATCATTGATTGACATGCCCATAAAACTATGTGTGCATCTCCATGAAAAAGATCAGCCAGCTTCACAATTTAACTGGGGCAACTCCTTTACAATTATTAACCTAGAAGACTCAGGCACCAACCACCACGGGCTAGGGAAACAAAGGATGCTCCCTTCCTACAAAGAGAAAGGAGGTGCATACTAACAAAAAGTGGCAAGTATTTCAGCCTAATCCATCAACGACTACTAAATGTCATCAAAATAATGACAACATTGCCCTCCCGTTGTATAGCTTTATTGTCTACACCTCTTTTAGCACTTTGTTTCTTATTTCTCAATCAACATTATCAACACCTCTACAAGTAGCTTTGGCACTAGCCCCTCAAATTGTAACACATTTGATGCATCTAAATCTTCATATATTTCTTCCACCACCTCCTTGGTCTTAACACATCACCTAGAACTCTTCATA